CTAAAGAAAGATGTGTATTTTGAATGATTGGTCAGATACAGAAAGATGTGTATTGTGAATGATTGGTCAGCTAAAGAAAGATGTGTATTGTGAATGATTGGACAGCTACAGAAAGATGTGTATTGTGAATGATGGCACATACTTCTAGTAACATATATAAATGTTCAGCAGATCAGCTAAGATTGAATATGCACATGCAGAGAGCCAAATAAAGGAAAATTTAGATCACTTCCTGGTATACACATAGACCCGGGACAAATGACACAGCATCTATTACTTAGTTTGGATGTTCTGACACTAGATACTATGGATTATCGCTAGTGGGAAGCAATTGTTAGAGAGTTATGTCAGTGTTCTAGCTTAATAGAAAATAAAGCATCTAATTTGTGGAATTCAAGGGTTTGGGAACCACTGAAAAATGTAGAAGCATTTAGATAAGGTCTGGTACCTTCTATAAAATGTTTATAATATGTAATTCTGAATGTTTTGTTATATAGTTTTCATGAGTATTTTACAAAAGGCTGTTTACAACTTGATATTAATATATTTATGTCTGTCGTATTCCAACCGGCATGAAAAGTCCTTATTTTGGGTGAAAGGTCAGTGTTAGATATAGCAGATATAGTGCGGATGACAAATTATTATACAGTCTTTTTACTTTCATTCATTACTAATAATATGGGGTCGTTCAGGTTGAAATTACAAATCTTTGAGGTCAGCTTAATATTGCGCAAACCTCGTGCTACAGTTAAAATTGCAAAAATATATGCAAGGCTTTTTCAAAACTGGAAATAACTACAAGACTTGTCGTTTTTTAGTTTATATAATTGTTTAGAAAAAAAGTGATGAGCCTGCAAAATCCACAGTCTGAGGAGTTTGTTATTAATAAAATGGTTTGGCGATGAACATGTAACTGTTAATTGGATCCAAGGCTTTTCCTATTGTCGTACTTTCACGTGTGACGTGAAATGATCTACAAACTCACTAGGCGATGGAATTGTTCATTATCTCAACAACTCTACTCTTGGAAACTCTATTAGTCAGTTAAGGTAGTCTAATAGGCGACACTATGGTAAACCTAAATGACACTCGAAAGTTACCAGAAACGTCTTTGCCCACCGACTCTCTCGTCCAGAGGATTTAGCTCTGCCAAGGCTCTTGGAGTCCAAAACAAACCTTATTTCATCATGAAAGTAGCTTAAATAACCTTTCTATGATTAAATGACATCTGTACATATTTTGCAGTTATCGGGGATTGTTTGTTTCAGCTAATATTACTAATAACAAAAAGCCTTCTGTTTGATTATTGGAATATGTTTAATTGTTTCCAAAGCATTTAATCACTTCATTAAATAATAGGTTTAACACTTTTTTTTTTACTTACCCATAAAGCCCATCATTAAACAACACATGGTGATCATAAGAAGCCAGATCTGAGCTCGCACGTGATTTTCTCTCTTTTTGATACAAGTGTGGAAACTGTTTTTAATATTTTCAATCGAAAAAAGATCTTTTATCAAATCCTTTATTTTCATATGATGTTCGTATTTTTTACTGTCCTGGACAAAGAACAAAACCCAAAGAAAAGAAATAGTAACCACCCCTAAAGACACTGCAAATACGCACACGTATCCATAAAATCTGTATAGTTGGCCACCAACCTCAGTTCCCAAAGGAGATCCCAGGATTATGGACATTTCTAGAAGAAAGAACTTGACTGTCCGGTATTTCTTAGATGATGTTTCAGAAATCATGCTGAACACTGAGCCCAATATTATTATCATCCCGGCAGTTAAACCTGCTGGTATCGCAGATAAAACGTTGTAGTAAAGAGGCAAGTCAAAGAAAATGGCAGTTAGCAAGTAACCGATAAGCTCAAGAATAACTCCAAAAGTGGCAAACAGCATAGGAATTTTTCGGCCATGTTTATCACTCCATGGACCGACAATCACCGAGAGAAATATACCAGGGATCATAGAAATTAAAGTTATTATCATGGAGTAATTGTTGGCTACTCTCGTCACATCATCTTCTTTCGTGGTATAATTAGACAGATTGGAACAGATTTCTGTTGGAAACTGAAAGTATAGATGACATGCCTTGTCTTCCAAAAGATTCTGGAGAGAAGCACGTCTTGCTGACTCACCAAACATGAACAAGAAAAGAAAAGGTTCGATTCTCATAGTTTTTATAATCTGAAGAAAGATCGTAAGACGTGACGGTTGTTTCTGAAAACGTTCTTTTTCGTTTTCATTAAATTGGTCTTCTGTTTTTTCTTTCATCGTTAAACCAGTTTCAGAGAAAGCTCACTTCCAATTTGTCTAAGTAGATTATTTTCACAGTAAACTTGATCAAACAAAAATTTCTTTCTGGTAGACGTAATGGAACTAAGTTTTATCTCACTTTGCTTTTTACATAATCAACGTCGAAGCTCCAAAAATTCACGAGCGAGAAAGAATTCTGTAATAAAGGAATATGAAATTACAGTGAGAAAACGAAGCTGCTTATCTATGTATTTAAATTAAGAAGTCTTCGTCTTATTTACCATGCAGTCATTATTACCTTAAGTATTTATGTTTACTGACTTCTTAACTCCGACATATATCAAAATATTAATATATGTTGCATTTTCTTCCTGACGTGCTTCGATTTAATAATGTAATATTTTACTTGCCTAGTTATTTAGGTAGTTCTCATAAAAAACTAAAAAACTTCAGTATGTGATCTTGATATTCGATGTTAAAATAAAATGAAGCTTAGTGATAAGAATCACTGATTAATAACAAAATGTTCCTCAGTGTAATAACAACTTGAATATTTCAGCTCAGACGTGTTATAAAATACTCTATCTGATGACATCCATTAAAGAAAATCATTAGAATAATTAAAAATTAAACACGCTTAAAAACTTGTAGTTGAATCTCCTATATTAAATGCATTAGAAAGATCACTAGAATGAAATAAATCATATTTTTTTTAATTGTTTATTTGAGAGGTTTTTTCTCGTTTGTTGGAACTTAAAACAGATGAAGGTAAACTGAAAACAGTTTGTATTATATCAACTATCCACGACTTGAGTGTGAGAAGGGCCGTATTTATGAAACTCTAAAACGATCATTATATAATGTTACAACACATTGTTATTATTAATAAATCAGAAAACAGCCGGAAAACAGAAGTGAAAACTAAATTTACAAGCTTGCTCCAAATGCTCTAATAAAAATAGGATGCATTTAACCATTAAAATAATCACACTGAACTAGAGTAAAACGCACAGTTTAAGTAAAATAAAATTAAAAATGAATTTTACGCAGACGAAAAAATGCAAGATATTTACTTTAAGCTTCTGTGTTTCACCTATCTGAAGTTCATAAGGTGCTATAAACACTATAGCCATTCTAAGATATACAATATTACCATACATAATGAGACAACACACCACTAGGTAATAATGAGCCTATTCCCAATGAGTCTGCATGTGAATTCCATAATGTACTTCTCTTAGGGCTTATAAAGGTTAAAATTTACAACAAACAGCCAGTTGGAGTCAAGATACCACTTAGAAAGGAGTCACAGTCTTCGAAAAGAATGGTTACTGTATGAAGAACACTTTAAATAAAACTATGCTGTCTCAAACATGAAGAACGAATGGAGGAGTATTACGTTTTGTGGCTGATTTAGCTTGTTTTTATGTTATCCAGTGGTAAAAATGAAGGAAGTTATGAATGCTTAATACTGTGAAACTGCTGTACCGCCTAACCTCTTTTAGCATGAAAATACACTATACCATATAGTACACTGAGTTAAGCAGTTATTCGAAAAAGAACTGGTAGCTCAGGACCTTGACCTGAATATTTCTGGACGTATTAAACACCATACAAAGAGAGAAGAAAATGACATACCTAAAAATTCTTCAGCTTCTTGAGCTGCTTTTCAAAAAGGGTAGCGGTAGTCTATTTTCACCAGACATATATATATATATCAAGAGCTAGTGTTAAGTGTTAGTAGCAAACTCTAAGCTATGATTAGCGCCATAGCTTGGCCCAATTTCAGTTAAAGTTGAGCCTTTACGATGAATATCATTCTAAAGATGAGCTGAACTCAAACCGTTTGGTAATGTATATTCAGTAATTAATCCAGCAAAATATATAAAATTGTTAGTTTGTTTGTAATCAAGCTCAAAATTACGCAATGAGCTATCTGTGCACTGCCCACCACGGTATGCATGTTTATTTCGGTTATAGAAAGACTAGATATATATATAGTAAAGCTGTTTCTCTATTTGTGTCATGATTATTTAGCCTATCTTTTCTTAGAGTTGTATATTCCTTGATTTTAAACCTATTTGTTGTGTATAGTAAGGTTTCACTTATTACTAATATATCAGGGTTAGTTTGTTGGATTGTGTCTTCAATCTCGTGTTTCTTGGAACCAATTGCACCTTGGATCTCGATATGTTGGACTGTGAATGTAGGTGAGTAGATAGTCTGTAATTTTAAATACGATTTGCGGTAGGTATGGTGTAATGTGTTTCATGGCTATTGAAAGCATTAAATCAATGCAATCTTTAGTTTGCGTTGGTTTTCAGGATTGTAAAATAAAGTCTGTGAATATGTTTTTGATAATTTCCATGATTTCACGTGTTTTTTTTTTCATTTTTGTGCTATACAGTTTTTTTGTTTTTTGATTTCGTGCAAAACTACTCGAAGGCTATTTGTACTAACTGTCCCTAATTTAGAAGTGATAGATAAGAGGGAAGGCAGCAACTCAACATCACCCACCGCCTACTCTTGAGCTATTCTTTTACCAACGAAAAGTGGGATTGACCATCTTATTATAATGCCCCTACGACTGAAACGGCGAGCATGTTCCGTGATGGGATTCGAACTCCATAACCAGCAGGCAATGCCAGGTACAAAGGCAGCTTGAACGAGACAATTTCAACAGTTTTCTGGACTATGTGGTTATGCCAAAACTGCATAGAAACAGTA